AGTATAAACACAGGCGTTATTTTCCTGTAAAATCAATGATAGCGATCAGGTTCATTTAGACAAACAATGGCAAGGTAATTATCCTCCCTTGACATCAGCTGTATTGTCATTTTCACAATAATCCTTTTCTGCATTATTGACTTTTTAATAAAACTGCCCTATGTTATTGTGTATTACCCACACAGTGTTATATAATACTGCCCTGTGTTACTCTATGTTACAGTGTTATATAATACTGCCCTGTGTTACTCTATGTTACAGTGTTATATAATACTGCCCTGTGTTACTCTATGTTTCACTGTTATATAATACTGCCCTGTGTTACTCTATGTTTCAGTGTTATATAATACTGCCCTGTGTTACTCTATGTTTCACTGTTATATAATACTGCCCTGTGTTACTCTATGTTTCACTGTTATATAATACTGCCCTGTGTTACTCTATGTTTCACTGTTATATAATACTGCCCTGTGTTACTCTATGTTTCAGTGTTATATAATACTGCCCTGTGTTACTCTATGTTTCACTGTTATATAATACTGCCCTGTGTTACTCTATGTTTCACTGTTATATAATACTGCCCTGTGTTACTCTATGTTACAGTGTTATATAATACTGCCCTGTGTTACTCTATGTTACAGTGTTATATAATACTGCCCTGTGTTACTCTATGTTACAGTGTTATATAATACTGCCCTGTGTTACTCTATGTTACAGTGTTATATAATACTGGCCTGTGTTTCTCTATGTTACAGTGTTATATAATACTGCCCTGTGTTACTCTATGTTACAGTGTTATATAATACTGCCCTGTGTTACTCTATGTTACACTGTTATATAATACTGCCCTGTGTTACTCTATGTTACAGTGTTATATAATACTGCCCTGTGTTACTCTATGTTTCACTGTTATATAATACTGCCCTGTGTTACTCTATGTTACAGTGTTATATAATACTGGCCTGTGTTTCTCTATGTTACAGTGTTATATAATACTGCCCTGTGTTACTCTATGTTTCACTGTTATATAATACTGCCCTGTGTTACTCTATGTTTCAGTGTTATATAATACTGCCCTGTGTTACTCTATGTTTCACTGTTATATAATACTGCCCTGTGTTACTCTATGTTTCACTGTTATATAATACTGCCCTGTGTTACTCTATGTTACAGTGTTATATAATACTGCCCTGTGTTACTCTATGTTACAGTGTTATATAATACTGCCCTGTGTTACTCTATGTTACAGTGTTATATAATACTGCCCTGTGTTACTCTATGTTACAGTGTTATATAATACTGGCCTGTGTTTCTCTATGTTACAGTGTTATATAATACTGCCCTGTGTTACTCTATGTTACAGTGTTATATAATACTGCCCTGTGTTACTCTATGTTACACTGTTATATAATACTGCCCTGTGTTACTCTATGTTACAGTGTTATATAATACTGCCCTGTGTTACTCTATGTTTCACTGTTATATAATACTGCCCTGTGTTACTCTATGTTACAGTGTTATATAATACTGCCCTGTGTTTCTCGATGTTACAGTGTTATATAATACAGTCCTGTATTGTTTCATTTTTGCCTTATTTACATGTACATCGTGATCGAGCTGTAATTTTTATCATAGCAATGTTAATACCTATACTTTTGTTCTGATGACAGCTAGCCTAGCTAATTGAAACATGTACATACCATATATATCTTTGGTACCATACCAATTGCTGGTATGGTCCATCCTGATCACCAACTGTATCCAATTCCAGACATCCAACAATTACTGATACTACTGTCAACGTTATCACCTGTATGTCAGACGAGAATTTGGCTCATTTATCAGCGTGTAGAATTTATATGTAAATCTATGTGATATAGGCATTTGTAATTAAGTCACGGATGAGTCGTAATTTTTAACCTTAGCTATGTAAATATTTATACCATTGTTCTGATGATGGCTAGCCTAATTAGCCGAAACGTGTAAACTAATGATAAAACCACGGAATCCAGATGTAGATGCTCCATCTTCTATGTCAGTTGTATTTACCTCCCTTGATGGAGCTCTATTGAATACTGTTGGGTATCGATCTTTGATTCATTTATGATGTAATCATCGACAGAAGACAACTAGAATGTTCGTTTCTCTCCCATTCCAGTAGGAGTTTTTTTATTTTCTGTTGTACCCTTGGGAGAACCCCTGCATCCTTCACTTGAACTGTCCAATGCTATACAGTGCCATACTATATGGCCAATCACAGTTTATCCATTCTAAACATATTCTCAATACAACACCAATTGCTGAAAGACACCAATCCCAAAAAGGCCATAATGAACCTATCACAATCTGAATCCAACTCAAGAAATCCAACAATTTTGGTAACTACTATCACTACCTACGTTTCCACCTGAATATCAGACGAGGATGTGGCTCATTTTCGAGCATGCATAATTTATATATAAACTCAGTCAATGTAACTTAACTAATAATATCACAACTGTACTGCCATTAGCACATGACAGTTGTTATTACGTGTATATCAGGAAAGAGCCATAATTTTAATCCATGTAAATATCTTTACCTTTGTTCTGATGATGGCTTGTCTAGCTAGCCGAAATATTTACATACCATACATATTTTTTGTACCATATCAATTGTTGGTATGGACCAACCCGATCACCAACTGTATCCAACTCCAGAATCCAACCATTACAGATACTACTACTACCAACACTATCACCCGAATGTTGGACGAGAATGTGACTGATTTTCGAGCATGCAGAAATTTATATGTTATCTCTGTCAATGTAACTTAATGATAATGGCACTATTGTATTGTCATTGCCATGTGATATAGACATTTGTAATTATGTCACGGATGAGTAAATGTTTATACCATTGTTCTGATGACGGCTAGCCTAATTAGCCGAAACGTGTAAAAACACGAAATCCAGATGTGGATGCTCCATCTTCTATGTCATTTTTCTTAACCAGCTTGTTTTATCATTTGAATGCTGCAAAAATGAAGAGGACACTCATTTCTGTATATGCATAGTTACCAAGGATTTGGTTCTGAATTACTTTATAAACATGAAATTCATTCTTTGTCCATCACATAACCCTTTCAGGACATACAGCTTTTATACATTCATACCTTGAGAAATGTTCCTAATCTTGTGACATTAATTTATTGTTATAATCACTATCACAACTAACATCATAATTAGCAATCCTAGTTTTAATTAGTTCATTATAAGATATATGTAACTGTTGGTACTGATCAACATATCTTCTTGACGCACTTCAAGGAAAAAAACATTGTAGTGTGTACACAGGGGTGGATGATCATGTATATTGATTAACTCCACATCCGACTACTGTGCTAAGCTGTTGGTGTTATTAATATATTGTTACCTGTGTATGAAATGATAAATAGAGATGGAGATACAACTGTATAAAGAGATATACGCGGCAATATGATACCTATATATTGACCAGCTATCAAAGGAATCAAACGCACAGGCGATCACAGCAAACATTATTGGAAAATGTGTGCGCTGGTTAAATTTTGTAATGTTGTGCAGGACTATTGGTGAGGGAGTAATGGAGGATTAAGGGAGGAAAAATGTCCACAGAATGTTTCATCTGTTTGAGAATTAAGGTTTGATGGAAATTTGTGATGTTGTGTCTTTAAAGTGAAGCACCTGAATCAGGTCAATATGGACAGTACTGTTAATCATTTGGTGGCAGATGATTTTGATGTGATTATGCGGGTTAGAGTTGACGATGGAAAAGTTTGGTATGTTTGACGGTTAAAAAGTAATAACATGTCATTTACATGATAATATTGGTTCATCATAAAAACATCCTCTTTATACTGGTTCTTCAATTTAGGGCCTCAATCTTTTTGTAATCTTTTACATATTAGAGAACTGAACTTTGCTTAGTATTCATCAGATCATGTATATGATATGATGGTAGTTCAACATAGTTCAGTGTTGGATGGAACATTTGTTATTTCTATGTAGTAACACAACATGGTGTCACTGCCCATAAAATTACGTTTATAATGATAATTTTTGTTAATTTATCTTATTCACTGTGTAAAAAAAAGGTGGCCAATAATTTTGATTTAGCATATATGGAGAATATGCATACTATTGTCAGTGGAATAGGTGAGTAGATTAATTTACTGATTGACAGCTAGCAGAATACATAAATGTAATAAAAATAAAAGGGGTCTATTTGTCTTTATGTAACTCTGGTATATACCAGCTGCAATATACCCCTTGGCTTAAGAGAACTTTTCTTTAGCTTGATTGGATGAGCATCAGCCTAGTAAGCCAGGGTTCCCGGGTTTGATTCCTAGTGGAGGCATTGAATTAAATAATGACCTCTATTACATATACAGGAGTGTTGTATTTAGGAAATGATTTGTAGAAATTGACACCTGAGTGCTATCTGGCGGCTCTGTTATGATATAGCTGTTCTGATAGACTGTTTGTGCTGGTTTCTCCCTTTTAATTAACTGATGGTGGTAGCTTATAACATCGCTATGTTAGTCATAACTGTTGGGTATTGCATGGCTGGTGATGTTGGGTATTGCAAAGTTGGTGATGTGGGGTATTGCATGGTTGGTGATGTTGGGTATTGCATGGTTGGTGATGTTGGGTATTGCATGGTTGGTGATGTTGGGTATTGCATGGTTGGGGTGATGTTGGGTATTGCATGGTTGGTGATGTTGGGTGTTGCATGGTTGGTGATGTTGGGTATTGCGTGGTTGGTGATGTTGGGTATTGCATGGTTGGTGATGTTGGGTATTGCATGGTTGGTGCTGTTGGGTGTTGCATGGTTGATGATGTTGGGTATTGCATGGTTGGTGATGTTGGGTGTTGCATGGTTGGGGTGATGTTGGGTATTGCATGGTTGGTGATGTTGGGTGTTGCATGGTTGGGGTGATGTTGGGTGTTGCATGGTTGGTGATGTTGGGTATTGCATGGTTAGTGATGTTGGGTATTGCATGGTTGGTGATGTTTGGTATTACATGGTTGGTGGTGTTGGGTATTGCATGGTTGGGGTGATGTTGGGTATTGCATGGTTGGTGATGTTGGGTATTGTTTGGTTGGTGATGTTGGGTATTGCATGGTTGGTGATGTTGGGTGTTGCATGGTTGGGGTGATGTTGGGTATTGCATGGTTGGTGATGTGGGGTATTGCATGGTTGGTGATGTTGGGTATTGCATAGTTGGTGATGTTGGGTATTGCATGGGGGGTTGGGTGTTGCATGGTTGGGGTGATGTTGGGTATTGCATGGTTGGTGATGTTGGGTATTGCATGGTCGGTGATGTTGGGTGTTGCATGGTTGGTGATGTTGGGTATTGCATGGTTAGTGATGTTGGGTATTGCATGGTTGGTGATGTTTGGTATTGCATGGTTGGTGATGTTGGGTATTGTTTGGTTGGTGATGTTGGGTATTGCATGGTTGGTGATGTTGGGTGTTGCATGGTTGGGGTGATGTTGGGTATTGCATGGTTGGTGATGTTGGGTATTGCATGGTTGGGGTGATGTTGGGTATTGCATGGTTGGTGCTGTTGGGTATTGCATGGTTGGTGATGTTGGGTATTGCATGGTTGGTGATGTTGGGTATTGCATAGTTGGTGATGTTGGGTATTGCATGGGGGGGTTGGTTATTGCATGGTTGGGGTGATGTTGGGTATTGCATGGTTGGTGATGTTGGGTATTGCATGGTCGGTGATGTTGGGTGTTGCATGGTTGGTGATGTTGGGTATTGCATGGTTAGTGATGTTGGGTATTGCATGGTTGGTGATGTTTGGTATTGCATGGTTGGTGATGTTGGGTATTGTTTGGTTGGTGATGTTGGGTATTGCATGGTTGGTGATGTTGGGTGTTGCATGGTTGGGGTGATGTTGGGTATTGCATGGTTGGTGATGTTGGGTATTGCATGGTTGGGGTGATGTTGGATATTGCATGGTTGGTGCTGTTGGGTATTGCATGGTTGGTGATGTTGGGTATTGTTTGGTTGGTGATGTTGGGTATTGCATGGTTGGTGGTGTTGGGTGTTGCATGGTTGGGGTGATGTTGGGTATTGCATGGTTGGTGATGTTGGGTATTGCATGGTTGGGGTGATGTTGGGTATTGCATGGTTGGTGATGTTGGGTATTGTTTGGTTGGTGCTGTTGGGTATTGCATGGTTGGTGATGTTGGGTATTGCATGGTTGGTGATTGGTGTTGACATATATTTCTAATTTGATTGGCATTGGGTTCTGATTGATACCTGTTCTTTTATTGGCTGTTGAGTCTGACTGACTGATATATTCTGATTTGCTGTGTTTGTTTTAATTAATTCCTCTTTGTTGATGAGTTGTTGGTTCTGACTGATCATTTTTCATTTGATGGATTGTTGGTTTTGACTGCTAGCTCTTTTTTTATTGGCTATTGGTCCTGACTTGATGCTCTAATTTGATTGGGTGTGAGTGCTGACTGATTGCTGCCTTATTTTGATTGGATGTTGGCTCTGACTGATTGCTCTCTTATGATTGGTTGCTTATGTTTTGACTGGTTACTTTATTTTGATTGGCTGTTGGTTCTGATCAATGTGTTGCATCTTCAGTAGTGCTCTTTATATCTTCAGTACAGATCTTACTCATCGACCGCATTTTTTTGTAAATTATACATCAAATATTCAGGTAATATTACATGTTTCTGTAACTTAATTTAGTAAAAGCTTGTCAAGTTTTGTATAACCTAGCAATGAAGCAATCATGGCTATAAGCAAAATATGTACAAAAGGTTGTATGGATGTGTCTTTTATGTGGAGGAAATATGTTTACAGAAGGAAAAGATACTCTTTGCCAGATACAGTGATAAGGATTTGGCTGTTAATTACAAATAGTTCAAAGCTGGGCATACATAGACTTGTGGTTCCAAGGTCAAGGACATTATTATCATTAATTAGTGTTTGACTGATTCCCAGTTTTAATGGATGATTGATTATTATCTTCCTTGTTAAAACTATCAATTATAAAAATGGATGATTTGATATAAGGGAAGTAACTCTTGAAAGAAATCAAAATTAAATTGTAGTGTATTAAGCATATATAAAACAAAATAGAGGTATGTGATCAATGAATTAGTCTGAAGTGACAAACTTACCCTTACCTTGGGGGAAGGTCTGACAAAGATTATTTTTTTCATTTTATATTTAACCAACAAAAAGTAATCTTGACATACAAAAGATCATTCATAGAATATAGACGAAGAAAAAACCTTACGATATAACTATGTATAGATATTAACCAAATATTAAAATAATGATTACCTAGCTATTATGTGATTAATTGTTATTGACAAGTTGTTCAGAAATATTTAGATGGGCATACAACATTTTTTACGCCAAATTTATGGTTACTGTATACATTGTAGTTCACTTACACAGAGAATAGTTAGAGTTGCAGGCGAGGGTACATGGGTAAAGAAGTCCACAGTCAACAATTCTGGTTACATTTCTAGGTAAAACAATGACTCTACATATTTGTAATTTACATATGGAATCATCCATGTCTTACAGACATTTTATGCCTAATACCAAATGAAAGTGTATACATATGATATATGTAATTAGGTTCACAGGGTCACCATTGGCAACACTCTGCATTATTATCGTTCTCGAGTTATTTTTAATAAGAAGTTATAGAAAGAAATATTAATAATTAATGGTCATTCAATTTCATAATAAACAAAACTTATTGATTTGAAAAATATTGTCTGATAGTGCAGTTAAGCCGAAAAGTCAATCGATAATGACGTGTGCATATAGTCCCCTCAGAAAATCCCAAAGCCAGTCTATGATTAAATATTCCCCCTGAAGGTCCTCAACTCAGTCAATAACATGTAATGAATTTCCCCATGAAAGTCCTCAAGCCAGTCTATAACTATACAGTCCCAAAGAAAATCCTAGGCCTTAAGACAGTCTGTAAATTTTGATTAGTTCAAAGAAAGTCGTCATGTGCCTACTGAAAATATATATCATTAATCATATCCTTATTGAGTCTCCCAGGAAAGTCTCAAGGCTAGTGAAACTTCCGTACATGCTCCGTGACCAGTGTAAAGGCAGTGAAGATAGCCTAATAACCTAGCTAATGGTTTATATAATAATTACAGGTGTAAAATCAATTTCGTATTAGTGATAACTTTTAACTTCGTTATGTTGCTAGTATAAATATTGACAAATCGCAATTGGGCCGTGGAAAATTATTTCCCTTACCTTGTACTGTTCTGTAGGGGCCTATATGCACAATAACATATAGTTTTACACCAGGTGACAGAAAAATTAATGTGAAAAGGTTAAGATCAATACTTGTGTATAGGAAATGTTATCCTATGGACAGTAAGGGGTGTAATGGAAGCGCAGTGACTTGTTCTTTGTTTGTGTGGCGTCATTGTGACTTTCAATTCAAAATCAGACTTGTAATTAAGGATACTGGTTTGTGATTGGAAACCACCACAATAAAAATGTTTAGATTTATTATTAATTGAAAAGGAAGTGCTTGCTATATTGGTTGAAATGACATGTAAATCAGGTTCACAGAAACAGAAATTCCTCATCTGGTATAGCAGAAGTCACTAATAATCCCAATACAAGATGAACATTTTAGATGATGTATTGATTGGTGCTTTATGTATATAAATGGCAATACCCCCCAAACTATGATTTCTTAATAAATGAACTGATTGTACTTCCTTCCAAACTATGAGTCTTAAATAGATTTTCATATTGTTGTTCCCTCAAAACTAAGACTTCTGAATAGATTTTCATATTATAATTTAAGACTAACTAAACTAAGAGTTTTGAATAGATTGCATGATTGAAAATCCCTCCAAACTATGAGTTTTGATTGTACTTTAGTATATATATTTAATGATGTTTTGACTTTGCTATAGTGTAATGTTGATAAAAAAATGCAGAAATGTGTATAGAGAGAAAAATGTAGTTTGATCATGAAGACTACAGAAGTGTTAATCTATTGAATATAAGGATAGAGATGTTCTAATGGTGCTGTTGTTATAATGAACTAACATGTCGTTGTTGAGGGGAGTATGTGGTATATTGATCTCGCAATCACTTCAATTGTTCTGTTATATGTACATGTGGTAACAATGAGACTTCCTCACAACTTTGACATATTCTTCTCCCATTAGCTGTGATTTATTTGAAATCTCCTTGGAACAGTAGCAATTGAAAGATTATTGATCAAGGGGAAAAAATCTGTTGTCTGTTATAAAGCAGTTGTCTTCCTTGTCCAGTGTGATAGGTTTACATGTACATTCCATGTCATTAGTGTGAGAGGCAGAACCTGATGTGGCAATACTGTTTATTGAGAAATCCAGCAAAGGTATTTCACAAGTGCAAACATATAGTGCAATGTAGTTAGAGGACAGAGATACAGTTCTTATTCTATGGATTGTTTGTTTTATAAGTTATGGATTGTTGGTGTAAGTATGGATAACTGGTAAAGGTGGACAGTTTCTGTAACTATGGATTGTTGGTGTAACTATGAAAATTTGGTGTAAGTATAAATTATTGGTGTGTTGGTGTAACAAGGGATTATTTGTGTAAGTACAGATTGTTGTCACATTTTGGGTATGATTTATTTAGATTAAAAGTTAAACTATGGAATTAATGTGTAACTATGGATTGTTGGTGTAACTATGAAAATTTGGTGTAAGTATGAATTATTGTGTTGGTGTAACTAGGGATTATTTGTGTAAGTACAGATTGTTGTCACATTTTGGGTATGATTTATTTAGATTAAAAGTTAAACTTTGGAATTAATGTGTAACTATGGATTGAAGGTGGAACTATTTACAGTCAGTGTAACTATAAATTGAAGGTGGAACTATTTACAGTCAGTGTAACTATAAATTGAAGGTGGAACTATTTACAGTCAGTGTAACTATAAATTGAAGGTGGAACTATTTACAGTCAGTGTAACTATAAATTGGATGTGGAACTGTTTACAGTCAGTGTAACTATAAATTGAAGGTGGAACTATTTACAGTCAGTGTAACTATAAATTGGATGTGGAACTATTTACAGTCAGTGTAACTTTAAATTGAAGGTGGAACTATTTGCAGTCAGTGTAACTATAAATTGAAGGTGGAACTATTTACAGTCAGTGTAACTATAAATTGAAGGTGAACAAGAATACAAGATTTTAGTTTGAGTAATATATAAAGTTTATTTGTGTTATTATAGATAAATAGTGTTACTTTGGATAACTGGTGTTAAGATAGATTTTTTGTTTTACATTGGATTAATGGTGTAATTATGGGCTATTTCGCTACAGTGAATTTTGATGTCACTTTGGGTTATTGGTGTCACAATGGACTATTGGTGTCATATTATTGGTGTGATTTCAGATTATGAGGGTAACTATTGGTTATTAATTAAAGTGGAATATTGGTGTTACTTTGAATTACTGGTTTAACTATGAGTTATTTTGCTACTGTGGATTATTGGTGTTGCTATGGATTATTGATGTTGCTTTGGATTATTGTTGTTGCTATGGATTATTGGTGTTACTGTGGATTATTGGTGTTACTATGGATTATTGGTGTTACTATGGATTATT